ATTAATTAAAATGGCCAACGTGTGGTAGTTCAAACCCCAAGTGGGGGAGAACTGGTTATCTAAGGGGAGGGCACCAGGATGGGCTCAGGGTTTTGTTCAACGGCCAGGGCTCGTCAGTATATTCAGTATGGGTGTGCAGTCTACTTGGCTTATGAGGTGGATATGCATGTGGGGGATCAGATTTCAGTTTTAGAGGTCCCGATTGTTAAGGAATTTGCAGATGAGTTACCCACTGTGCCGCCCAAGAAGCAGGTCGAGTTCAGGATTGACCTTGTGCCAAGTGCAGCCCCGATTGCCAAGGCACCATACCGCTTGGCGTTGCCTGAGATGCAGGAGTTGTCATCTCAGTTGCAGGAGTTGCTAGGTAAGCAGTTCATCAGACCGGCCAATTCTCCGTGGGGAGCACCGATTCTATTTGTCAAGAAAAAGGATGGTTCACACTGGATGTGCATTGATTACCAGGAGTTAAACAAGTTAACGGTGAAGAACCGTTATCCCCTCCATATGGAATTAAGGACTTCGGTGTTCTTTGATGTATCCATCACCAGTTTGGGGGCAATCCTCATTTGGAGAGGATGGGTGATTGCTTATGCTTTGCGGTAGCTGAATCCGCATGAGATGAGGTATCCCTCTCATGATATGAAGTTGGGGGTGATGGTTTTTCCCCTCAAGATTTGAAGACACTATCTGTATGGGGTCCGTTGTACTATTTACACGGATCACAAGAGTCTAAGGCATATTATGGATTATCCGAACCTGAACGTGAGGCCGCATAGGTGGCTTGACATATTTAAGGATTATGACTGTGAAATCCTTTACCATCCTGGTAAAGCGAATGTAGCGGTGGATGCTTTGAGCCGCAAGTCGAATGGGTCTTCGGATGTGGTGTCATGTATGAGGATATCAGTGGATTCCCCGCTTTTGGGATTGTTCAGGGAGACTTAGGCCTAGGGTTTTTAGGAAGAGAATTGGAAGAAATAAAGGATCGGGGTGAGCTTTTCAGATTTTTCTCGGATAGTCACAGGTTGTTAACTCGATGTGGTTGGTTCTGGGATCTGATGTCTAGTGGGGTTGTTAAAGGAGGCTCAAAAGTCTAATTTTTCTATTCATCCGGGAGCCACCAAGATGTAATGGGATTTTTGATTGAGCTATTGGTGGCCATGTATGAAGAGAGAGATAACTTGGGATGTTGAGAGATACATGACCTACAGGATGGTCAAGGTTGAGCATTAGAGGCCGCATGGCAAGCTGCAGCCTTTGGAGGTTTCCATGTGGAAATGAAAGAATATTTCGATGGACTTTATCACCAATTTGTTGAAGATCACAAAGGGTTTTGATGCTATTTAGTTCATCGTGGATCGATTAACAAAGAGTGCCCACTTCTTAGCGATTCATGAGAGTTCTTCGGCCGAGAAGTTAGTTGATGTGTTTGTTCATGAGATCGTTGCTCACCATGGGGTATCAATCTCCATTGTTTTATACCATGATGTTTAGTTCACCTCCTACTTTTAGAAGAAGTTCCATGAGGAACTGGTCATGAGGTTGCACTTCAACACTTCTTATCTTCTGCGGATCGACGACGAAAGTGAGCAGACAATATAGACCCTTAAAGATATTTTGCGAGCATGTGTTATCGATTTTGGTGGGAGCTGGGGCTCCTACCTACCTCTTGTGGAGTTCTCTTATAGCAATAGTTATCACTCTAGCATTGGTGATTTGCCTTTTGAGCTCATGTATGGGTGGAGATCTCGTACCCCGGTTTATTGGGGCGAAGTTAGTCATAGGGTTATGAGGCAGACTGAAGTGTTCTTTCAGACCACAAAGGAGATTCAGCAGATTAGATAGAGATTGCAGACTGTCAGAGTCAGCAGAAGAGCTATGCAGACCAGCACCGATCCGAGTTGGAGTTTTTGGTCGGCAACATCGTGCTACTGAAGGCTCACCTTGGAAAGGTGTGATACACTTTAGGAAGAGGGGAAAATTGGGTCCCCGGTATATTGGTTTGTTTCGAGTGATCGTCGGGTTTGTCAAGGTTGCTTACAGATTGAATCTTCCCGAGGAGCTTAGTCATATTCACAGCACATTACATGTTTTGCATCTGCGAAAGTTCGTATTGGATGAGGATGCGGTTGTTTCCTTGGATGATATTCAGGTTGATGAGTGCTTGAACTATGTTGAGAGGCTGATGGTTATCCTGGAAAGGAAGGTAAATGTTTTGTGTAGCAAAGAAGTACCTTTGGTAAAGGTACGATGGTAGCACTAGAAAGGCTTCGAGTGGACCTAGGAGCCGGAGGCTGAGATGCGGGAGCATTATTCGGATTTGTTCACCACAGCAGGCTTCGAGGATGATGTATGGTTCAAGTAGGGGGAATTGTAACACCCCTAGGTTCAGGTATTCTAAATCTATTCTAATAATTTTATTATATGACATTTTGGTCCCTAAGTCCAAGAGAAGGTGCCTTGAAGCCCTAATGGAAATATTGTAATTTAGGGCAATTAGAGTACGCTAAGCATACATAATGGTACGCTAAGCGTACTAGGGCGCGCGCTAGTACATTGGGCGTACTAGTGTCAGGAGGAAAACCTAAGTTTAGGGATTGAGTGGTATTTAAGCATCCTTGTGGTTCATTTCTCCCCATCTTTTCAGCCTCCACATCCTTTGATACATTTTTGCAAAACACTAGCCCCTTAGTGTGTGTTTTGAACTCAAGAGTGTGTTTTTGGTGTGTTAAAGAAAGAAGAAGTTGTATCAAGAAGCCTTGAAGTGGAAGTAAGCTTGTGGATCTAGGATCTTTTCCCTCTTATGAAGCTCCAGAAGGTATAAAGTCTATACATTGATGTCTTGGTTGTTAGGGCACATTTTTAGGAGTTTTATGTTGCTTTTGTTGTTCCAAAGGTCCCATCTTGTGCATGTTTGGTTATTTTCTTTTTTGAGTTGTACTTCCAGAACCTTGGAAGGGTCCTAAGCCATAAAAATAAGGTCCCAATGGCTAGAATAGTCAAATGCATCTTGTAGAAGGTATTAATGGCTTAAGACCTTGTGTTAAGGACTTTATGGACGTGTAAAGTCATAAAGTTGGAGAATTTATGACTCTAGGGTGCATTTGGACCGTAGATACGAAGTGTAGGCTTGAGTGCTTAAGCAATTAAGCACTTAATAGAGTTTTAGGGTTCGCGAGGGTACGCCCCGCATAGGTGGGAGTACACCCCACGTACTCAGTCAACCACCCCATAAGCTGGTCAATGTGAGGCTTTGCGTACGCTTAGCTTACCTCCGGGTTACGCCTCAGATACTCGCATGAGTTAGCCCTTGTTGAGCTGACTCGGTTGGGCTGATTCAGTTGGTTAGTGGATTTGACAAGTTAACTTTGAGTTTGACCAAGTTTGACTTTGAGGTTATTTTAGGTATTTTGTGATTTTGATGGAATTAGTCACTTGGTTGATATATGTATTGTGTAAAGAGCTGAGATTTGGAGTCGGGCCTCATCAGTTCTGTTCAGCTGTGAGGTGAGTTTTCCTTACTGTACTTTCGAGTTGAAAGCACCAAGGACGTCCCTTTAGATTGTTATCCTAGTTTATTGTATGATCGTGTACTATAATGAAATGTTAGATTTGTACCCTGGTAGATAGGTTGTTAGCATGCGGTTATGATTTGTGAATCTGCCTATTTGTTTGATGTCTGGTTAAATGTTTTGAGTTATGAGTATGTCGACATGTCATGGCTAGTTGGGTTAAGGAATTCCGGCTTTGTGCTGAAGGCCAATACACCCGGGGCGGACCGAATAGAATTTAGGCCCTATGAGGTGGTCCAGTCAAGCTGAAGGCCCGAAGAGCGGTCCTGATAGTTTGTAGGCCCTGTGAGGCGGTCCAATCATGTTGAAGGCTCTGTATGCATATTGTTGGTTACCGTTATATGTTTGTGTGTGTTGGTACTTTGGGGGAAAGCTTACTAAGCATTGACTTATAGTTTTGGGTTATGTTTCAGGTACCTCAGATGATCGCAGGAAGGCGAAGGCATGATCATGCATGTCCGCATGTTTTGATTCATGATTTTGGGAAAAATATGATATTAAATATGTTTTGAAAGCTAAATTGTAAAAAATGATGTTTCGTGGGTTGTTTTTAAAAGTTTAAATTTTTCTTGAATTTTATGGATGTTACAACAAATGCTACATTTTGTTTCTTTCTAGCCTTGGATACCCTATGTTGCACATCATTGGTTTGTTTTTGGTTAATTTCTTTGGTTTGTTATTTGAATTGTTTTCTGTTGCATCCCTTTCCCTTGTAGTTGCAGGTCTACCAAACATTTTTACATGAACAGGAGGTAAAGGTGGTGTGTACAAAGATGTTGGCCACAACTTACTTCCATTCATAGGTGCTAACTTATGATTGTATTCTTTCATGTAGGTAAAGCTACTAAACATTTTGTCAACATAAGACTCTACATCCCAATTCAAAAAACTAATGGCTGCAACAAAATGAACACAACCAATTCCATTGAGTTGCCATAGTGTGCATAAGCAAGTTTTCCTCTCAAGATCTACCTCATAACCATCTATAGTTCCTCTTACTTCAAACTAATTTAATCCACTACGTAATACTTGGTAATGTCTTTGTAATTTCTTAACCTCATTCAATAACTCTCTAATTGTTGGGTAAATTTGATTGCCCCATCCTTGGCCCTCAAGTTTCATGTTGAACACCATATCCATCATATACAACCTTAACTCCTCCAACATGGTTATAATTGGCTTCTTCCTAGCATAAAAAATAACAACATTAAAACTTTCAGACATTCCATTCTCTATAGCATCACAACATCTTCCAGTTTCAAAGTAGGTTCTTGACCATGTTTTGGTGTCTTATTCCATTATATACTTATGAGCACTTGGGTCTAGATCTTCAAGTTCTTTCATGGAATTCTTAAAATCTATCTCATTTGTTTCTTTACAAGCCTTCTAGAAAATGGTTTCATATTGGGCACTACTATACCTTTTTCTCTAGTTTTGGCTAATATGCTTAACACACTGTCTGTGCTCTACATATGAAAGGAGTTCTTTAACAGCCTCAATCAGACCCTGTTAAAAATTATAAACTATGTCAAAATAATTATGCAACTAGAAAATGGAAATGAAAGATAAAGAAGTAAAGTACCTTGTGTTGATCAGATATTACACTGTGTCCATAACCTACATTAAGTCCCAAGTCATCAATGAGTAGATCCAAAAACCACTTCCAATTTTCCTTATTCTCCACACACACTATTGCTCATGCAATAGGATAAATTCCATTGTTTGCATCCCTTCCAACAACACATAACAAATCCACTTTACATATCCCTTTAAGAAAACAACCATCTAAACCTATTATCTTCCTGCATCCCTCCTCCACCCATCTACAATACATCGAAGCAAACATAGAACTTACTAAAGTAGTTCTTTTCATCTGTCATACAATTCACATCAAGCTTAACAGTGCTACATAGATTTGATATCCTAATCTCTTCTGCATATGACCACAACTTTGCATAATGTTCAAAAAGGGTACCATCTACTAGCTACAGTGCATATATCTTAGTTATCCTGTATTGACCAACAATTACATGAATACCAAACTTCTATGACCCAATTGTTCTAATCTTTCTTACATTCATCTTTTGTCTAAGTAAGAACTCTCTTGTATAATGACTCCCTATCCAAGCATAAGTAACCATTGAGCCTAACTTGTAGTTCCTTTCACATTTGTGATCTAGCTTTAAAGACTTGATTTGGAAGCTTGCTTCATCACTCATCCAAGATGCCCATAACCTGAATGTGAACTCACCCTTACAACACTTAACCAACAATATTTTTCTATCATTTTTCTCAAAGAAAAGTTGTTACCCATTGGCAACAACATAGTTGCATAACATGGATGTTAATTGAGTTGGATCTTTGAATCTCATACTAAGTACAGGGTACTGATTTTTCCATGGAGTTGACTCATTAAAAATTAAATGTTGTTGAGTTACATTTTCCTCTTCTTCACCCCTATTATCATTTATGTTTTTATCATTTCCCTCTTCTTTTCAACACATAACTTATTTAGAAACTCATCACATTGTGTTTTGTTCATAGTGAGTATATCCTTATTAAAGTCCACCTCTACATCTGTAAGGTTATCAATTTCGTCTTCATTTTCACCACCATCAAAGCATGAATCGACATCATCATCATCTTCTTCTTCTATCTCAGAGCCAAACCAATCCTCTATTCCTTGACTATCATGGTCCACATATCGGGAAATAAAATCAAGAATTCCAAAAGCATAAAAAATGTAACTAGCATGACCTCCATCATTACGAATAGTAGTTATCCCAAACAATAATGGCTTACCTGGCTCACAGTCATAGTAGTATAACTTGTTTATACTTTCTTGCATGGACAATTTGAGAAAGGTGATACACCCAGAGTATATCATTCCAGAAAATCATGATCTTTGAATGTGAATTTGATACCATGATTATATGAAAAAGGATCACGAAGAAAAACACCTTTGAAGTTGAGCTCCACTGCATGATAGACTTCATCAAGGTTTGGCCTCGAGGTTGACATTATCTGTTGGTTACCTGATCACTAACTTCGATTGAAGGAAAACGTGTGGAACCCTAGTTTTTTCTTTCTCACTTATTAACTAATAACAATGAAGAACGAAGAAGGAGAGTAGCAGTGTGTGTGAATAAATGTGATTATTTTGACTTCGATTTCTTACATGGATAAGGTAAGGTGAATATCTTATTTAATGTAATACCATGTAAGAAAGACAATCGGTTGTTCCGTTTACCAGGTTCATAAGGGTGTAATTAGTCGATATTTCCTAACGTTAAGAACTAATTTAGCATAAAACATACATGAGTGACTAAATGTGCAAAGTGGCCAAACTTCGTTGTGCTACAATGCCAAAAATCCTTTCTAAAACCCAAAACGAAACTGTGGAATCTCAAAACATTTCAATAATTATGTTTTGGTGTTAATGCATATCATAACACAATTGTTGGTTTTGGTATTTAACTTGCCTAATAAATATGTTTCATTTTTTCACAGTTTTTAGTGTAATAATAATAAAGGCTCTTTTTTTTGTCGAACCTAAAATATGTTTGGAACACTATTGTCAATATCTTGGGCCTTAATATTCATTACCATAGTGGATGTATCATCGATTCAAACACACATACCTATGTACAATGTTTGAGAAACAAAGACAAGAAGCATAATCTTCAAATGCATGAGGTACAATCACTCCTCCAATTTGATTCATAAAAATCTCATAGAAGTCAATTGCAAAGTAGCATCAACATTAAGATGTTAAGATATCATTATTTCCATGTCCTTTATAGATCTTCTAGCAACATAAAATGTGGGATTCTTTGGCATTTTAAATAAAAACACATATTCTAAACTATTCTTGCCTTTCATATGAATTGAACAACAATGATAATACATAAGATTTAATCACATCTGGACGACCATGCCCGTCTCCTTTAGCATACATGAATAGTGCCATCCTAGACAGGTTTGTTGCATAGTCTATAAACTCTCGTAAAAACTTAGAGTTAACACATGCTCGTTCCTTATTAAGTTTCTTCCATGTCTCATTGATTAGCTTTTTTATATACCTTCTAGCTTCCTCTTCTGTTGCACCACTCTCATGCATATAACACTGAATTGATTTTGGAATATCCCCTCTTGTCATTTCATCCTTAAAAGAAGAAAACATAATGTTTAACTTATTTATTTTAAAAAGAATTACGTGATTGGTCAATGTAGTTTTCCAAAACAAGCGTAGTAAGGACAACTATTGAAACTAGTATACCGTTGGTCTTTATGGTTTCAAAAAAACCAACCATGACATAAATGAAACCACAGGACATAATGCATAGCGCGTTTAATAATTTTCCTTACTGCATCTGTTTTAAGAAACCATAGGATCAACCGCAAGTAATTTTGTCTTTATTTTATATACCATTGAGAACACTTTCAAATTTAATGTACGTGTTGAAAGGAAAATAGTCAAAATACGAATAATGCTAGAGCATACCGAGGATGTCCCTAAGTCATCAGCAAGTCGGAATATTAGTGATGAGTAGCGAACTATATCATCAAACATATCCAGGCATTGTAGGATTTCTTCCGTTAAACTAACTGATGTTAAAAAGTTAACATGCATGAGTACTACAGGACCTGATATCGATACACAAGCATTTTTCAAGTACTCTTCAAGTGTGGGTGTATATCCATTATGGTACCACCGTGCTTCTACTAGGTATGACTTGCATAAATCTTCCCACTACAATGTTGGCATTCAAAAAGATTAAAAGATCAGGATTTGATTCAGATCACAAGGGAAATAGAATAACAATTAATCACAAAAATCACAAGGGGGGGGGGGGGGGGGGTGTGGAGCATAACACCAATAGTTATAGACATCATATTTCAAAAGTATTATTTTCTTTTTCTGACAAAAATAATTCATAATTTTTTTTCCCATTTTATCTAAGTTAATAAATAAAGAAAATATCAAAAGGTTTACAACCCAATGGTATGTCATCGTTAAGGGAGTGGTAACACTCCTAACATCTTATTATGTTAGTTTTTTGATTGTTACCTGATTTTTCTCAGTTTAACACCTAATCTTAGTATTTGATACAGTTTAACACCTAATCTTAGTATTTGATACAGGGTGATAACACTCCTAACACTCCAAAATATATATTTTTTATTAAATCAAAGAGGAGAAATTAATAAGTAAAATGGGATTGCAATTCGGTCAACCTCCTATTGACCAATCAGATTTCACCAACACTCTTTCTCATCTCGCCACAATGGTAACCAGAAAGGCAGAAAGGCATAGCAACCACCCTAGCGAGCGCTAGGAGACGGTATTTATAGCTTGCTAGCGAGCGTAGCAAGTGGGTTTAACACCGCACTCTGTTTAGTCTTAAGGTTAGAAATAGATTAAATTATACAAGAATAAAAAAAATAAAGGAAATAAAGAGCGGTTGAGATAGGGTGGTGTCCTCTTCATTTCCCAATGAAGAATCTTTAATTCTTTATTGCTATTCTGGATTTAAAGAATAATAAAAAGGTGGTGTCATCTTTCCTTTTCTGATGGACAAACCCATTTATCATTGAAAAACAATAAAAAAAAGCGTGTCATATTTGTGTTCTCAAGAAAACAAAATCTATTTTTGGTTAACAAAATGATCTGTAGCTTCTAATGTTTTAGTATCTGAAAATGACAGTATCTGGATATAATTAATATCCTATTCGTGAAAAAATTAAAATATTAATTATAAAATGTGATGTCCGAGATCACTAAAAGATAATCTTGAAAATTTACAACTCTTTTATACACATAATCGGTGATCAATTTTCGTAATATAATTTGAAAATGTATTCATGGTGTTATGCCCTTAGTAATTATCTCAACATAATATTGTTAAGAAGAAGGATTACTTACTGCTTTCTTTAGGTGTTTAAGGATTAAGAATCCTGTGTTTGTCAAGGTGTTATATGCAATCTCATTTATCGAATTATAGAATCCAAGGAAACAAATCTTCATATAATCCGGAAGTTCTCCTATCGCATTGAGGTCCCATCTGTAAAAGAAAATTTCTTTAGTTCTCATTAAATTTGTGCAAATATATAGTAGTTAATAAACAACTAATTAAGCATGTAACTGAAGTATCGTAAGAGTCTATATATATATATATATATATATATATATATATATATATATATATATATATATATATATATATATATATATATATATATATATATATATATATATATATTAGCATTTACCTGCAGATAACATCAGTAAATTGTTCAAGTTCTTCCAAAGTACCAAATACGTCATAGACATCATCGATAGTAGTAATTATGGCATTAACCTTAGTTAACGTTCTCCTTCCGTTGCTAAAGCGAGGTAGGTAACTAACACCAACAGTCCACAAAAAATTCTCCACCAACCGATCTCGAGTAAAGTTCAACTTCTTATCCCAACTTATATTTCTCCACCACCTTATATTCATGGGGTACACAATAGCTATATATCACGATACTTTATTTTGTAGTGTATAACAAGTCAAGATAATGTAATTTATATATACCCATATGATACCTTGAGGAGTGTTTTAAATCCTCGATGTGGATAGCCTGGACCATGTTAAAATCCAGTTTTGCAAGTTCTATCAATGTGGGATTTATGCCACTTCTTTTCTCATATTCTTCCATAAACCATTTCGTCTCTATCCTTGGTACTCTCCAATGCAACGGAAGCTCCAACGCATGTGTTATTAACGATGATATATTTCCATCCAATTTCTCTAAATTTTCTTGGAGATATTTAGTTGTGAAGTCTCTGACATCGTCCAGTATGCTTTCATCCTCGAATGAATGATAAGAAGCCTCGTACAAGTTCAGCGTTGCCACCATATCCTCGAGTAATTGTGGGTTTAGATTTTGAGTCTTGTCCTTAAAGTTGAGAAATATCTCTAAATATAAAAGCAAAATCAAGAAAAAAAAAACTTTTAATGTGTGTTTTAATATAGAGTAAACCTCATGCATCGGGATCACAAATGAAATCTTTCAATTCTCTACGAATATGAATCATTCAATTCTCTACGAATATGAATCCTTTATTAAAATTACCTTGGGGAATCTGATAACCATGTTGTCTTAGTAGTCGAAAGCCAAGAGCTTTAGCATTCAAATCCATGTTATTCCACTTATTTTGAGTTTTGTAGTAATTGTAGTAAATCATCTCCAAGACCTCACTTATTTCATCCTCAAAATGATATGATATCCCGAGTCTCTGCAACTCATCAACCAGCTCCAGGGTATCCAATGGAGTTCCCACACTGTGTATCATTGTTGTCACTGCTTCCTTTAAAGTATGTGCTCTCGCCGTGTACTCTTCTCCCTGTATAGGTTAAATTTTTGAATGTGACATACTACAAAAAATTAATAGAATAGAAAATGATAATCTTACTATGTATTTGCTAGAGAGCGATTGAACATGATCAAAGGACCATAGTGATGACTTATAATTTGCAGATCGTCTAACAAGGGACTCAGCCGCAATGACGACCATTGATGTCGATTGTAATGAACATAAGTGTTTACAAATGAGAAAAGATCTAGTTTTTTTATGATTGTAGTTGTAATGGAGAATTGAATTATAAAAAAAGCACATCGAAGCCATTGAGAAAGATATATCTTAGAAGTAATAAGTTGGTCTATATATAAAAAGCACATCAAAGCGCTCTCTCTCTCTCTCTCTCTCTCTCTCTCTCTCTCTCTCTCTCTCTCTCTCTCTCTCTCTCTCTCTCTCTATCTATCTATATATATATATATATATATATATATATATATATATATATATATATATATATATATATATATATATATATATATATATATATATTACTTTACCAGTTTGCGGAAGCATAAAACGATAGTTAAAAAGAAATCGTCGAAGAAATAAAGATTAAATGTTCTTGAAATGTGTGTGCATGTATGCGTGATACAGAGAAAGAACTCAAAAAAACTCTTATGTACGTCTTATCTAAATGAAAGACAAAAGTGATCATTTATGCTATTTACACTAATGGCCCCTATACTATAGCTTTATTGACATATTAGAACCTAAAAATAGTTTTAATGCCACATTTTACTACAATCTCCACCATGACATTTAAACTAAGTCAAAATTGAAAGCCAAAAAGCATGATATGACAAGATTTCGCGAAGGTAGTATAGAGGTTGGGAAAACTCACAACACACCTACTTAATCAAATTGAAGGATTCAATTGAAGCAAATTAAACCCAAGAAAATTGATTAGCCTTAAGAATGAAGGAATCCTCAATTCCTAGAGGATGTTAATGCTTACACATCCATAAAGGTGTCATAATCCATAAGCTATAGATGATTCCAACCATTATAAAGCCCTTGTTCTAAGCAAACTCAATGATTCAATACTAAACCAACAATTGCTCATTCAAGTACCAAGCTCGTGAACAAAGTATTAAACAAGCATAAGAAATATGAACTAGAATCATAAATATAAGATAAATGATAATCAAGCATGAATCCTTCAAAACCCACAAATACCCAAGGGTTTTAGCCAAAGTTAACCAAAATAAAGAAACTAGCCACTCATGGTGACAAGATAACAATCACAAAAGTGTTTTTGCATCAAGAAACTAACAATTACTTAAAAGTATGAGAAAAATGACCAAAATGCCACAAAGCGTGTTTTCACGCGGGTACCCTCGCAGATTTTTGCGACTGAGACTCCACTCTCGTAAATGTTGTTGGAATGCTATTGACTATTTTTCTCCACTACTCCACCCTACTACTTAAAATTCCCTTTGTCCCCTTCACACCTCACATGATTCAAATATTGGTCAATCATCTTCAAGCTTCAAATGGATAGTCCATGACCATATTCTTTGATCCATGACCCATCTTCTTTGATCCACTTTATCCAAGTTAGGGATGAGCAAAGGAATCGACCCGACCGAAACCGGCCCGAGAACCAAACTTGGTGGAAAATAGGAACCGGACCGGACCGCCGGTTCTACCAGTTCCCGGTTCCTATCGGTTCTTACCATGTATTCAATGTTGGAACCGGTCATCGCACTACTAGAAAAATAGCCTTTTACGACGCTCATTGCGCGTCGTAAAACACTCAGACGACGCACAAATGCGCGTCAAGGAAGGTCATGTCATAACGAGAGACGACGCGCATTTACAACGCACATTTACGACACACATTTACGATGCGCAATGCGTACCAAGGAAGGTCCTATCATAAAGGAAGACGACACGCATTTGCGTGTCGTAACCTTACGACGCGCGTTTAGGACACACATTGCGTATCATTAAATCCCCTGTCATAAATGAAGATGACATGTATTTGAGTGTCATAATTTTAAATGCTCTCTCTCTCTCTCTCTATATATATATATATATATATATATATATATATATATATATATTTGATAGAATTACTAATTTTCAAATTGAACAACAGATTAAAATTATCATAATACAAAATAAAATACCATACATAAGAACAATAATTCATTTCAAAAAAATATCATATGTCAAACAAGTTACCTAAAATTACATGTCAACACTAATAACACTTTCTGTTAACACAAGAAGCTCCATTTTCATAAGATGCTAGTGCTACAACAGTATTCTTTCTGTTAACACAAGAAGCTCCATTGATCTTGACTATACCCCTAACAAGAACACATGAAATTCCATTCCAGTCGTGTTCCACTTTCTCTTCAAGATCTTTCAAATATTCCAGGTAACTGAAAGTATAAAGAATATTATTATTAATATTAATCATTTTCTTTCTTTCTTTTTCTCCCACTTATTTTATTTAAAACAATGTGTTTAATCCAACCTGACACCACCCATTTGTTCACTAATCCACCCTGCACTATTTAACTTTGCATCCATTCTTGCAGCTGCAATGCCATGCCCACTGCCCCTTAATCGATTCTATGTGTGTGTATATATATATATATATATATATATATATATATATATATATTAAAAAATTCAGACCATATTTTACTAAATGGTGTGAATTGTGATAATCAAATTGTATAATTTTTATATTATATGATTCCAGTAATTAATACCTCCATTCTAGCTTTACTTTGGGAGACAAACTGCTTGAAGCGCTTTTGATCTGCAAACTGAACATCTTGGAGAATACAGTTCACCTGAAATAACAGAGTTATAGTAAGCTCACCGGAAAAAAAAATGTATAATTTAATTTTAGTTAAATGAATATAATAAACGTACAAGGTTGAAAAGATATTCAATGCGTGCTGACATGGATTTACCTCGAACAATAATATGACTAATAGGAGGTTCAAACCCTCTTTTTGATGAGGTGAAAGAGAATACAGTATGCCACCTGTCTTCCTTCCAATTAATTGATTTAACTGCCCAAAGTCCAGATCTTTTGTACCCATCTCCAGTAATGATTGACTGTTTATCAATAAGTATAAACATAATGAGTAATAATATTAATACATAATTACTTAATTACCCTCATGTGTCCAAAAGAATCTTACCAAAAGAGTGGAACTATAGGAAGAAGTTCTTGCTTCAGTAAACTCATGTCAAATACTATTTCAGTGTAAAGAACATCATTTGTGAAGAGATCATGCTGCAATACTTTTACCTGAAATATTCACAAGACATCTGAATAATATGAAATAGTGTAATTTTCATAAAATAAAATTACAAACCTGTACATGATGAAACCAGAAAAACACAAGGCGGAAAGAAGAAACAAAATTATCATACATCTCTTTTGACAGCTTAACCAACAGCAAGTCCTGAAGGTTGGATGACTTGGACAAATACAAGCACCCAAGGCTTATAGTAGCTGGAAACACCACATAAAATGGGGCCTGCTTCAGAAAACAAGAGAATGCTTCAGACGAGTTTGTTGAATCCTTTTTGTTTTGCATCTCCATGATTCTCTGCAAAACACAACTCGTTTAGGTTTGACTTTGACCCAAACCCTTTCAAGGGTATAATTGTAATTTCAACTTATGTAAAACGGTATGTAACATTCTCTACCGTGGACCGGGCCCATAGTGCACCCAGTATATCCATGCCATGGCTCCATGAACCTCACTTTGAGCGAGAAGAGTGTTGTACACGTTATCTGATGCGTTACTTTGAACAGCTCGAATCATGTAGGTAGGATCTGTCATTTAAAAAAAATGTTTACACACACAGAGGCAGTTTATGATTTAGTGTATGTTATGTTTCGGAAACAGTATTAGATCAGGTGAAGCACATAGCATTGATGGTATAAATGCGTTGGTGATCCTAGAATCATGCTCACACTCTGTTAAAGTGGCATTTTCAGCAAGAAGATCGAGAAAAGAGTTATCATCAAGTTTCCTTTAATTGAGTTTCTGATGAATAAAAAAGATACTCAAAACCTGATATCATAATAAAAAGAAAAAGTAAATTCCAAATATATACAAAGAAACACACCTTCCACTCAAGAAAAATGTGATTTTATCATCAATATTCCACTCAGCAAGACAAAGAGGCAACACTCTTGTAGTAAATCTAAAACCAGCTTTCTCTTTCATCAAAACCATTCCAGCTGGAATAGAGGCACTCAAAGGGGAAACAATCTTGCATATACCTGAGAAATGTTGTTGTGATAAGATTTCTGGGAAATGGATTTACACATCTTTCATGTTAAGAAACTTATAATGAAAAGTTATTAAGTTAATTACCATATTTTGAAGCTTCAGGGGCAATTGAATATCTCCTTCAGTATAATAGCTTGTAATGTGCATTATTTGCTTATATATATATATATATATATATATATATATATATATATATATATATATATATATATATATATATGAATGAAATGCGGGTAATAAAAGTTATATTATTTAGTATACATATCATATTATCATATTTTGATGAAATGGGAGAACAAAAAAAGTTATGTAATTTAGTCTATGGTTTATCTTATAAAACAATTGTGATACAAGCCAAAGAACCTACTTTCCAATTGTGAATTTGTGATGGATTTTGTTCCAGCTCCCACATCGACCAGGTGAAAGAAACAAAAAAAAAAAACTTTTGTTCCAATAAATAGATACAAAAGACTTGGAAGTTGGCAAAGATATCCCCTATTTTTTCTTCATTTTCTTCAACACTTTTTAGAATAGCACGACATGATTCTATTCCTATTCCTACCACAACCCCATCATCAACTTCTATACCTACTTCCATTGTCTCTTTTACCTGCTGTAGTTGCACCACCTCAATTTTGGAAATGGCATACCTCAAATCAGATGGAAAACCTGCATTCATTGATGAAGGGACAAATTTATTTAGTTAAGAACAACATTTATATTCAATGGGACATTTAACTAATAAGTAAAGAAGAAAGAAAGGTTACAAGGAATTATAGGTTCCATGATATAATCACAAGACCTGGTGCTAGTGTTTGGAACTTTCATTCTTTTGCCTACAAGATGATGATTAGGATTAGTGATCAATAGCAGTCTCCAACCTTAAACCTCTTACTGGTACCAGAACCGGAAACACACTTTCCTTGGGTGATGGGAATTGGCTTTGGCTTTCCGCTTGTGCTTGTTGATTGATTATGCTATCGAATTTGGTTTCATATTCTTTCTGTAGATTTAAAATGCTAGCAGATCCTGATGTTGGTGGTGGTTATATTTGATTGATGTAGCTGCATATGCAATGTTCAAATCAATCAAAATCATAGTTCAATAACTATATCATCTCTAAGATATGGAATTGGTGAAGAAACATAGAATAAGACCTTAGATAGGAAATTGATGACAATAACAACTTTCCTATACATCAAAGCAAAGAAATAAACAGGAAGCCCAACACAATGAGGAAATGGCAAAGAAAATAGAAGTTGATGATGCATGCAAGACACACAAATCTTTGAACTCCAACTAATAAATGAAATTAACACTACGAGAGGTGTTGAATGAGAAATCAGAATATGACTGTTGGAATCAAGAAATAGATTGCATACAGGTTAGATAAAAAAAAATACCTACAAAAGGCCTCTGGTCTTCTCTTTTTAGAAAGCAGATATACATGCATTTTATATCTTCAAAATCATAATGACAGAATTAGATAGTATCTGTAAAAAATAGCACAAATCAGATTGTATGATTGTATATCATCCAAAGAGAAATAATTGATGCCTAGAACATTAGAACAATAACTTAACCGGTACATAATCACAGTCCACAGGACCAGAAGTCAATAATTAGAGAAACCAAAACTTCACATTACTGAAATTATACTATTTTGAAATTAGAAGTAGACTAATAGACACTTTGGGATCTATGTATTTGACTAGTAACTAAATTTTTTTATCAGAAATCGACAAATCAGTTCTTAATTCTTAATACTGAGATTTAAATCCATCCCAACAACATAAAAATCAAAAAGTTGTTACTAATCAATTTTCTTCCTTCCCGTGACTTACTTTTCTTATGATGTGGGCATTTCATCATTATATATATGCTTTACAAATGTTGATCTTCTAATTGGCACATGAAGTACGTATAATTAGTTTTCTTAAAACAACAAACAACAAGGAAGAAGAAGTATATAATAAAAAGAAAGACAATAGAGAGAAGGCAAATACAAGAAGAAGAACATACCTTGGAGAAGTCATTTCTTTTCCTCCTGTAGAGAAAACTCTGAAGCGTGATTTCAAATTCAGAAAATTCCATGGAAAATTCTTGGAAGAGAGATTGATGATGGGATGCGTTGTTAGTGGTGTGGAGATGGAAGTTATGACCGGTGGTGAAAGTTTTTATGGAGGGATCGATTTTGATGCAGAAAGTGTTGGGGAAGCTGGGATATCAATTTTTTCTAGGGTCGTGTTAGATGGAGATGGTGACTCCAAGGACGACCAATGCTAGTATATCGATGATGGTAGGGAAGCCGGCAAACGAAGGCGAATCGTCCACCCATGCTCTGGTTCGTTTTGCATTTGTGAGAACCTGAACAAAAAGCCCTAGAATTAGGGAGGATGTATTTGAAGAGGGAAATATGAGAGAACACAGATGAGCCGAGGTCAGAGGTGAGTTGAGGTAGATTCGGTAGTGGTGGAGGCGGATTAGGGTTTACAGAGAAAAGCAGGAGAGAGTGAAGGTTGTCGGCTGGTGGCATGCTTGCCTTGATCGACGTCGATAATTAGGGCAAGAGGAAAGGAAGAAAAAGGGAGGCGGGCTTTTTAATTTTTTAGGATATCATTTTCCCCCCAGCTATTAAAGGATGGAACGCGCGTTTCCATTAAAATTTATAAAGCGACGTCTTCAGACGACACATATTTATTATAGGCGCCCTCCGTGTTTTTTTTTCAGATACTAATTTAAGGGCGCCCAAAAATGCGCGTCCGAAATCCTTAAAATTTTTAGAGAGATGACCTTATTTTTAGGTCACACACTTTTGCGTATCGTAAATCGACGCGTATCATAAATTGCGCGTCGTAAAAGGCTGTTTTTCTAGTAGTGTATATTATTAATGCAATGGATGATGTTGTTGCTTGTTTACTACTTTGCATTGTTGTAATACTGTACATGACATCCTCCACCCCAAAACGTTTTCGCCGTTCATCAGTTTGGGGGCTGTGACAGATTGGTATCAGAGCATTGTTTATAGTGAATTGAGTATACCAACCCATAAAAGATATACTAACTATAAATACATTGGGATTAAAATACTATGACTAAGAGTTTATACTTTAAATAATAAAATATTTAATTAATTATACATGCCTACATTCATACGAAAATCAGTATTACTAAGACAGTACAAAAGTATTACGGTTTTTGGGCAACACAATCAGACTTAGAGACTTATGGTCAAAACTAGGAAGATATAGCCTGATCAACTATATTATCCGAGGGTTGACTAGCATGTGCCTAAGTGTGGTTGTGAGGTTGCAACAAGTCTAAAAACTTACCCACAATACCACAATGAGAACAATAGAACCTAAACTTAAAAATACTATAGGAGTATTTTGCATTACTATAAGTTACTTATGTGCTAGATTCTTATACCTCCCTTCTCACGTAGATTTAATGGTTGGATTCCACCTTCCCGGAGACCCGTACTATCCCAACCACGGCAATGCAGGATGGCTAGAAGATGAACCAGAAGATGATCACCCAATTCCATTGGATGATCATGAAACTAAAGGTTTTTCTGATGGTTCTGACTCAGAGCCAGAAGTCAACAACCAACCCCCGACTGTTCTAAACCCAAACCCTCGTCCAACATTTCAAGGACCCACACCTCTGTGGGCCATAAACTTGAATAGGTGGAGTCAAGAACAAGGACAACCCATTCCCTACAATGGAGACAGAAGCTTCTACAACCTTACTGAGGGAGGTTCAGCTGACAGAGTCCAACCCATTATGGTTCGTAGGATTGCTCAGAACACCGAGCAAGGTCGAGCAGCTATCGTCCGAGTAATGGAGGTTGATGCCAATTCTGGCATTAACACTATCCGAATTCGCCAACTGGAGTCCGCTCATGAAAGGGATCAGGTCAGCAATGCAATGCTCCAGAGGGAACTCGCTGAAACCCGAGCTGAAGTCAGAGAACTTCGAGCTCAGCAAGCCAAAGCTGATAGGCGCAGAAGCGACATAGAACGTCTTCTATCGGAGTCAAGAACTCACTGTGGTAGTTCTCGTTACCGATACATTCTCATCAACTTCTCTTTTGGATATAACCTAGTTAGTGTAAAAACTCTAGTTTAATTTCCTATCCTTGTAAATCTTAGACCGGTTAGGTCTTGATTTGGTCATAGTTCTGTCAAAATTTTCCATATTGGTTGATGTAAGACCTACTTCTAGGTCATTTTTCCCGAAATTATTACATTGGTAATCCCAGTACCTTTGACAGATATCTAATCTACTGGAAATTATTATCCTAATGCTTCCATCTTCATTCAAGTATATTATCCAATCGTATTGTTGGGCTATGAAGAGTTAGTCCATGAGCCATTCACATCAATTCTTCCATTAAATTCTTATCAATGTTTTCATCTTCATAAACTTATAGATCAAAGATGCTGCATCACAGAAACCCAAGGAGAAACCTTAATAATGAAACACCGATACCACCACCTCAACCACCTACTCCTCAGTTCGACACGACAACCTTAAATGTTGTTGTAGCTGTAGTTGTGGCTACAGCCATGGCTCAATATCATTCATCTGGTTCCACTGGAGAAGGAAACCCTGTTTAGTCTATTCAGGTTGAAGCTCATGTGCGCTCGAGAGAGTGCTCCTATAAGGACTTCACAAACTTCAAGCCATTGTCCTTCAAGGGGACTGGTGGAGTCATTGCCCTCTCGCAATGGTTCGAGAAAACCGAA